AAATGTTCTCATGATGCATATCCAGAAAGCGTCCCTGAAGGCATCCTGAACATGAAGGTGGAGACTTTCTTTCTTGCTGTTCGTCCATCTTTGGTCATATTCCTGATTGTTCACACTGTAAAGAGAACAAAGAACAAAGCAAAGGAATAGACTTACAATATGTGCTGTTGCGTAAACGTATCTAAGTTAGATTTACAACTAACAAAATGAGAAAATGTTTGGTGTGAAGTTACCTGATCACTGGATTAACTTGGAGACTTCTTTCTTGAGTGGATCACTTGGATTTTTGTAGCCCTTCTCGTTGATCCAGGCGGTAATGGTGGCGAGTTGGTCGTTGGTCACGAGACCCTTTTGGTGAAGAGCTTCAGACCACGTCTTTACCATATTTTCACTGTGCTTCTGAAAGCTCTCTTCAAAAATGACCAGTCTGGATTTGCTTTTTGTCTTGTTTTTCGTGCCGATATCTAGCTGGCACGACACCATTGCACCAAAGACCGTAAGTTTGAAGGTGCCCACGACATTGTCTTGGCTTATGGTAGTTGACAGCAATTCCCTGAAGGCTCGGGATTTTGTGCTGGTATACTCCCATTGTTTTTCTTTGGGCACATGAATAGCTGGAAGTTCACGGCCTTGAGCTTTTGTCATGAGAACAGAGGACCTTGTTCCGACTTCAAGCATGGCTTTGGCTAATTTGCTGCTTTGGTTCAAGCTCATAGCATGTAAAACGCTACCGGTGGGTGGCTGCTTATCCGAATTGACCACTTTTCCAAGTCCTGGATTGCTTTTTGCAGGTGATTGCCATTCCTTGTTTACCTTTACTGTATATTCATTTTTCTTAAGCCGGGCTCTGCTTTCCTTGATGATGATTCTTTGTGTTGGGAAGTCTGACATGTACCAGTTTCCTCCTCTGATATCGTCCTTCCACTCATTGCGCTTCATGAAAGACTCCCATTGGGCCGGCCGTCTGTTCAGCACGTCTGCCTCCAGAGACCGGAGGTTACCTGCTTCCAAAGCGATTTCGTTTGTGCTGGCTTGTGGTTTCATCCCCCGTGCCACTGCATGAAAAAGACCACCATCGCTGTCCAAGCTCACAATCTTATCTTTGATGCGCACATCGTAATGGCCGCCCGTGTATTTGGCGCTCTTTGGTCTGTAGATTAGTGTCACAGTTTGACTGGCTGGTTTAGTACTCGGGTTCACCGCCTGCATTGTAGTAAATCTGCCCTTTGTACCCTCTGTGAGGATTACAATCCTGGTGCCAGTAGCTTCAGACAGGACTCTGACATCCAACATGGTGCCCACAGTCTTGGGGTTCTTGATCTTCTGAGCATGTAACCTTGAGAGTTTACCTCGCTCTCCTGAAACTTTAGAAGACAGGTTAACAGCCACGCTCGTGATATGTTTGTTGTTCTGTCCAGTTTTGAGCTGCTCATCTGGTTTCTCACTCTTAAAATGGCCTTTTACATGTTTCATGACAGACATATTGACTTTGTTTTGAACCTGAGAAATAACATGACCGGAGAACTTCTTGTGGAACACTTCAACCATGGCATCAGCAATTACGCTACTGATGGTGTCGGCTAGATCCGTCTTGAATGCCTTCAGCAACTCCAGGTCTGAGGAAGATAGCTCAGTTTTTTTAACTTTCTCTTCCCCCTTTTTGTATGTTTTCAGCTCGTTTTGAAGTTGTGAGAAGAATCTTTCAGAAAGAGTGACTACCGAGGCTATAGCCTCTGCAGCTATGACGGCGTAGTGGGTCGCTTGGATGGCTGTCAGAACAATAAGCAATTTGCCTTTGGCCCCTGATATGGCCGTGTTCATCACTGAGATGATGGATGAGTTCAGTTTGTTCTGCCAGGTGAGGTCATCATAGAACGGCTGTGCTGCCGTTTTGCTCAGCTGTTTGAAAATGTTCAGCAGGTCATTCTTTTTGTATTGGTGCTTCAGAATATAACTCAGCTGCTCTGTGTCCTCAGTCTGTAAAAGAATTATTGAGTCGATCAACGAGGCCAAGGGCTCTTTGTCAATGTGGGATTTCACATCATTCAAAATTCCCTTCTTCACCTCTGATTTGATCATTCGCAGTATTTCCTCCATTAGTTTCTCTTCTGCTTTCCCAAATCCAAGCGTAATGGCTTGCTCAAGCATTACTTTAGCAGTTTGTTTTATGCTGTTCTTCAAGTTTGCCTTAACGGCAGTGCTAAAGCCATGTTTGATCTGCTTGGAGAACAACTTTGGTATCTTCTTCATATGTTTGCCTATTGCTTTAAACAAAGTTTTCGCAGCCTTGAAGCCCTTTGCGACTAACTTTCCCACTCCAAATCCAATGAGGGATAAGCCAATGGAGATGGCTTTGTCTATAGCCCAGGATGTCCAGCTGAACTTTCCAGTTATCATGGCTTCAATGCCAGTGATGCAGTCTGAAATTCCCTCTGTGATAAGTCCCATTCCCACTTGAGCTAATGCACCACATGTGAATACAGCTAGCAAAGCTCCTCCAATAATCTGCAAAATCCCCAGAAAGAACACAAGCAAACCTTCCCAACAGAAGCGAGGCTTCTCCTCCACAGCAAATACATACTTTAGACCTTGATTGTAGAGGTTATAGGCCTCAGCTTGGAGTTCTTCGTTAGCTTTTGACACCAGGGAAAAGACTGGTGACTTTTTGGCCAATGCATCCCTTTTTTTTCCTTTAATTTCATCCAGCTTTTGAATGGCCTCTGAAATGTTCTTGTCAAAGTAGCTGAGCATGCTGCACCTGGTCGTTAGTTGGTTCTCAAGGCTGGTCTCCTGATCTTTAGTTGATTGTGCTGATGCCATTTTTACAAACTGCAGACATGTCAAGGCATCCTCATTGAGATACCTGAGATTCTCTTGGGCTTTTCGTAGATCTTCTCTGGCATTACTAAGGTAATTTTCCTTTTGCTGCTTTATGGTGCAGAAAGCATGACTGTAAAAGGCTATAGAAGCCCAACTTTCATCTTGTTTCATGGCTTTTTCTAGGAGCTTGGCAGCAAGGTCCCATTTTTTTTCACTCATTGCATTGTTTCCAAAGTTGATATAGTGGTAAATGCTAGAACATGGCGAAGTTTGGCTTTGGGTCTGACTTCTTGCCATTTTCAGATCAGCTTTCAAGCTCTGCTGCAGCTCATCTCTTTGCAATTTGTCGATTTCCTCTGATTTATTTTGCAGCCAGATCCCCCAGAACTCATTCATGATGGCCACTACAGCTCTCCTCTCATCTCCATCTGTGCTCTTGTAAATATCTCGAAGGGTTTTACAATACTCTGAAAAGAGATCCTCCCTGAGATTCATCTCAGCAACGTCGCCCATCATGACATTAATAATTTCTGCCGCAAGTCTATCCCTTGTGCTCTTGGCTAGTTCAGGAGACGTCACTTCACTGAAATCCTGCTGCATGTGTTCAGTGGTCGTGATTATCTGTGCAGATCCAGGTTTACCTTTCCGCGCAGTTCGCCCAAAAGCCTGCCGTTCCACTCTGGTGTTTTCAGAGAGGAAGGAAAGGATGACAAAAAGTCCTCCATTTTTGTTGACCTCTTTGGACACTTTGATGTTTGTGCCACGTCCAGCGAGGTTTGTGGCAACGATGACATCACCTGGAAGCAGTTTCTTTTCAATTCTGCTGAGAGAGTTGTTGTCACTGCGGCAGTAAAGAATAATTTCTCCGGGAATGACACCTTTCAGCTCATCGTGGATCTCTTTGGCTCTGTTGATTGTCTCACAGATCACCAGGGCAGCACGTCCATCTCTGAATGAATTTGGTGAAATCTGAGCCATGACCACTTTCTTTATTTCAGATTTCCACTCCTCAGATGATTTTGTCACAATGCCTTTGACCTCAAACAACTTCTTCCTGTTGAATGTGGGCATTCTGCAGGCAGACAGGCTCGGATAGAGGTCCATCAAAAACTGCATGTCCTTTTTGCTCCCCAATGTCCCTGTTGTTCCATAAATCTTTCCCTGGTACTGTTGAAAGAAGGCGATGTTGGAGATGTAGTTTGTCACTGTTGAAATTGTGCTGAGTTTGAGTTGGTGTTTAAGCTCAACAAACTGCTGCAGACCGTCACCCCATTTCTTATTCAGCTCTATGATGCCCGTAGATCTGAAGTCCACTGGACAGATGTTGTTGTTCTCCACAACATAGTCCCGTCCCTCTCTAAGTTGCTTTCCCAAAAAGGCATTCCGAACCCAGACTGAAACTTTCTTATCGATCAGACTCTTCAAGAATCCAGGAATGCTGACTTTGTCCTTATTGGTTGTGCAGGGGGTGTACTGAATCTTGTCTGAGATTAACTCTGCAATGGGTTTGATGAGTATTTCCTCTGAGTCATAAAGAGCACAGCACATGCCATCTTCCAGAACAAGAAAGGTCAGCTCTGGAACACTGTGTCTGTTGTACGGACTGAGCTTTCTAAGACAGAGCAGACCTTTTTCATTCAGAGTGTAAACGGTGAAGCCATAGGGGACATAGCTCTCCAACTCTTCAAAGAAATCAACCACAGCATCCTGGCTTACCGTTTTCAGTTTCTGTTTGACTTCCTTCTTGTCAGTTTTGTATATTTCCTCAGTGAACCCCTGTGGCACTGTGTTGGATTCCTCAGCGATTTGTAAGATATCCATTGGATCGTCAATCTCAGTATCTTCTGTGTTTATTGAGTCAAAGATGGCAGTGTAGAATGATGCAGGAGGAGCCTGAACAAATGACTTCTGTCCTGTGGAAAGGAAGCCATACTGGCATACATGGCCCCAAATCATGGCCAGTATGGTGTTCAGGTGCTGCATGGACACCATGGGGCTGGACAGGTAGGTCAGCTGCACGCCCTGATCCAGCAGCAGTGAGTCCACTTCGTCGATTATGATGCACTGATAGCTGCGATCAGGCCTCACGTCCTTCATCTCAAATATTTGCCGAAGGTGGTCTGCAGCAAAGGTTTCAATAGTTCCATAAATCACATCCTTTTGGTAGCAGCTCTTTCTGGCATCGTCTTCGGTTTTATTCGTGTTTACGTCAACTGTAATGCCAAGGTACTTGAAGAAGTCGCTGCATTCTGCTGCATCTCTTTCACACAACACAGAGGAAGAGGAGACCACGTCCACCTTTTCTCCCCGAAACACACGCAGGGCTGCAAACATGGCTATGACGCAGGACTTTCCTTCACCAGTGCCCATTTCCAGGAGCTTCCCAGAGTCAGACAAGGCCAAGAGGCACCAGCTTATCATCTGAGAGATTCTGGGAAACCATTTTCCTCCAGCAATTTGCAGATGAACAGCATTGCACAGGACAGCAAGGACCTCCTGAAGGTCTTCTGTGTTTTTGCTGTGACTCAAACTCTTTGCTCTTGGTAAATCTTTGTGTTTTTCCATTTCATTATTTGCGATCAGTTTATTGACATAAGTCACTATATCGTATGCTTTCTTAAGGGTTTCTTCATCATTGTCTTTCATTTGACGTATTTCATCAAAGAGTGTTTCAACATCTTTTGAGTCATCACTTTCAAAGCTCTTTTCCAAATGCTTTATCAAATCCTTTGTTGCAAAAGACTTTAGAAGCTCAAGGACAGTTAGATTTTTTTCATCCGTCCACTTGGAAGAAACCTGGTATGTTGCCATCAAGTGTAAAATCTTCATCATGGAGATGCAGCCTTGGTCATGATGATGGTCAGTCAATGCTCCTAGGAGGTTCAACATCCCCTCTGGTGACCACAGAGTTCGGGCTTTAAGGTTTGCAACCATCTGGAATATCTCTTTGGTTTCCTCCGTTGAATCTTTGAATTCCGCCACACAGGTAAAAAAAATCTCCACACACCATTTGTAAGCAGGAGATTCAATTAATTTCTGAGCTTTTGGTTCACTACTGACCACTGCAAGGAAATTCTCAAGGAAGGTCAGAATGAAGTCTTCATGAGCTGGCAATCCCTTCCCAGTGATCTTCTTTAGAGTGGTGGCCATTTTTTTGTCAGTGTTAGTGACTTGGTTCAGGTTGTGGAGCACCTGAAAAAGAGCCTTTATCAAGCTTTGTTTGGTTTCCATGTCTTGATACTGAGTTTTATTCATCAGGTTTTGCAGCACTGCCACAGAAAACATCAGGGATTCATTGCTCTTGAGGCTTGAAAGTTCCAGATTGTGAGATGTGCTCAAACTTTGCTCTTCAATGATGAATCCTCGAGCAGGATGAGGAACCCCCGTTTCTGTCACCTTCACTCCGTGTTGAAAGTAGTCTGACACAAAGACATCAAGTGTAAGGTGCACAATGTCTGCTTTGTAGACTTCGTCGAATGATGAGTTAGTATCTCCGGTGCGAGTGTTGAGAGAGATTCCAAGACTCCTGTAGAAGTCTGACCAGTCCTCGGTTTGCTCCTTTGACTGGTATTCTGAACTCAGCACTATGTTCACTTTGTTTCCCAGGCAGACTTGTGTGGCTGAAAACAAGGCTATGGCACACAGTTCTTCAACCACCCCAACCAGCTGTGGCACCCCGGTTTTCTCCCTCAGCACTAGCCCACACCACTGTAACATGTGCCTCACTGTGGGCCACCAGCCTTTGGTGTCAAACACTGCTCTGCAGAGCTGAGACAGACAGTTCTGTAAGTCCTCTGTGTTAAAGGCTCCACATTTTAGAGTATCTCTACTAGGTGCTGCACTTTTTGGTGGATTTTCTGAATATTTCAAAACACCAGTGGTAATGCTTTTTATCATATTAATCATAGAATCATCTAAACCCTGTGATATCTGTAACTCTGCCAGCGCTTTAGTCAGACCGCTCTCATCTTTCTTTCTGAGCATCATTTGGAAATCCTGAGGGACCTTTTCAGGGTCAATAGAATCAAGGGCCTGGATGAGGGAGCGTCCAGACTCATCTTTCCAGTCTGGTGAAATGTCATAGACTTGTACCAAGACGAGGATTCTGGTTATTGAGTCGTCCTTCTCACATTTCTGTGTCAGTGCTTTCAGCAGAGTCAGTGCTTCTGTTGGGGTCCACTGGCTCATTTGCACAAGTTTCATGATCATTTCGGTGGATTCTGAGTGTGTTTCATTATCATTGAGTCTGGTCAAGAGAAGTTCCAAGCACTGGGTTTCCATTTTTAAAATGTATACAGATGTTCTACTGACTGCACTCTGCAGGGAGGTTGTGAGCACGCTCAGAAACTCAGTAGCAAAGAGCTCCTCAGAGGAGAGCTCCATATCAGCCCACTTTTTGGCTATCGTGACGCCATCGGTGTCAGAGCCGCCTCTGTCATTGAAAAAGTGCATCAGGGTAAGATACAGGGCTTGAGTCAGCATGAAGCTTTCAGAAACATCCGATGCTGATTGGCTGATGGACTCCACCAGAGACTGCACCTGGTTGCAGATGCTCTGGAGGGAAACTCCCTCAGACATCTCCACTGACAGGGCGCACAGCTCGGTGATGTACACCTGAGCGCGCTGCAGAGTGCCCAGAGATGGAAGAGCACCGATCCATTCGTCAAAGAGAAGTTTGTCCAGAGCGGACAGGATCTTTCCCAGCTGCTCGGCGGTCAGCTCAGGGAGACTGAGATCTGAAACCTTAAAACCGCATTTCAACGAGAGGACCTGCAGGAGCTCCTCCCTCTCAACGTCCTCAAAGTCGTTCTCAAATTCATCCAGATGAGCTCTCACAATATTTTGTTTGGACTCGTGCTCCTCTGAAATCTCCTTTTGTAGTTGTGTCTCTTGCTGCTCTTTTGCTCTTAGCTGTGACTCCAAAAGTCTTTGAGTCAGTCTTTCTTCTCGCTCCTCCTGTCTCTTCCTCTCCTCTTCCTCCCTCCTAGCTTTTTCTTCTTCTCTTTTCCTTTCCTCCTCTCTCCTCTGTCGTTCCTCTTCTCTTTTCCTCTCCTCTTCTCTTTTTTTCTCATCCTGTTTCTTCTTCTCCTCGTTCCTCCTTTGCTCTTCCTCTCTTCTCCTCTGTTCCTCATCTCTTCTCCTTTCTTCCTCTCTCCTTCTCCTTTCCTCTTCTTTTCTCTTCCGTTCCTCCTCTTGCATCCTTTCTCGGTCCCTGATTGGCTTATGAAAGCAATAATTGCACTCATACGATTCATTGTAGCCAACTGGTCTGTAGTATTCTCCTCCGTTGAATTGATGCACATATCGGCCATGAATAGTACCTTTCCATATATTATCAAACGAATGGCATGAAGGCAGGACTTTTTGACACTTGATGCATCTCAGGCTGTTGCCCATGTGAGCTTCTTTTGGTACGTTATTCCCCATTTTGGTGAATTATTCAAAATTGTATCTTGTTTTTTTGTGAAATCTGTGTTCACCTGAAAGACAAACAAAACAAAACACAGAGCAGCGGTCAGATCTTTAATATCTGAGATACAAATAATTTTTTACTTTGTTTTATCGTTGACACATATTAAAAAAATCTTAATCTCTGGTTCAAAAATCTTGTAATTTATTCTCGTCATTATTAACTCATTGGCTGCCAAAGACGTCTATAGACGTCAATTCAAATACAACCGTTGACTGCCAAAGACGTCTATAGACGTCTTTTATGTTTTTCAACGAGAGTGGCTTGGGGGACGATCTGCTAAAACTTATCCGTAAATATCTTCTTATAGACAAAGTATGTACTAACAAATTGACCCTCTAGGTGGCAGTGCCACTTTTGATGGGAGATGAGCATAGACTGTAGGCAAAAAAGAAAAAGGTAACGGTTCGCTATGCGAGAAATGGCGTCGGTGAGACGCAAGTTGAGGTAGAACGGAATAAGGTAGAAACACATTTTTTTTCCTGATGAAAGAAGAGAGTCTACTCTTTCTTTTGGTGTGTTCGGTGTTTACATAGTCATAGCACAAACTATTCTGTGGCTCTTGAAAAATCAGTCAAAATGCTCAAAAAACTCTGGCAGTATGGGACTCTGCGATAGGACTCGCAGTCAATGAGTTAATAACGACTTAATCTAGTAATTAATTTAATCATCTTTTGAAAATGTGACCCTAATACTTTGTTGTAAATACTCCATCACAAGAAATATTTGTATTTCATTATTTAATTTTTATTCTTTTATTTTTTATGTTTATTTCTTAATCAAGGTCATTTCGTTTAAAAAAAATCTTTATTAGATCTTGTTCCTTTCAGCATCAATCAATTGTAATGAGTCCTGCGTCATGCCAAACACATTTGCTTTGTCAAGGGAGGGTTTAAGAAGAAATATTCTTATGTAGAGACTGAGGCAAAGAGATGGGCGAAAAAGAAACGAGCATATGAGCACATGTAAAACATGCAGCCCACCAGAGTGTGCTGGGGGGCCCCTTTGCATGCAATGCATTACCCCCAACCCCTCCAAAAAAGAAGGACAAAAAAGGGTATAAAACAATAAGTATGAATTCATTTTAAAAATCAGTCCAACTAAAACATTCATTCATTTATAAGAGGAGATAGCACCAGCAGCAACACCCTAAGCAACCCACCGCAACGAACCAGAGGAACCAGAGGGACCTAGGAGCCTGCAAGGGGGGGGGGGGGGGTGTTAGGTAATAAAAACTTTCCAGTAACATGAAACACTCCAAAATCGATTGGTTTTGCTGGTTTACAAGCATACAGAAAACATGAAAGGAACAACAGTTGAGGATTAAATGAATGTTAGAGCACTGCTGATCTGCAGAGGGAAGATACCAAATGCCGAGTAGAAGCGCCCCACCTATTAAAAATATATTTTTTTTCATTTCACTCGTTTGGAAAGCATATTTCTGCACATTTCTTATGATTCTAAAAGGTCACTGTCTTAAAACAAGTAAGTAAGTCTGAATCTGAGGTAAAACAAAAAGTGTAAAAAAAAAAACCTCCTCTGCGTGATGTCTCTGCTTTGAAAATGGATTCAATCTGAACAAATAAAAACACAATAGATAATAGATAATGAATCAATAGCCCTTTTACAATGAACAAAAATGACTCTAAAAGGTGGACTTCCACATTTCAAACTGTATATTTAAGAAAAACATTTGCTGAATTAACTCATCAAAAATCCTCTCCCCATCTAAAAGTCATGCCCCCTTATGTTGTCTTTACTTGGGAGGTCTTTTGTAAATATAAAATTATTAAAATCAGGCTTCCCTTTTAGGCTCGCTGAGCTGCATTCATGTACACTCTGGCAATCAAAATCTTCCCAGAACATTGCTTTCAGTAGCATTGTGATAACAAAAATCTAGAGAGAAATTAAAATAATGTATGCGGTTTAATCATCATCTTTGCCCAAATGATTCAGAGGGTTAGGGTTAGGGTTAGGGTTAGTACCAAGAGTCGAATCAGTATTTTTGTATTTTTCCATTAAATATTTTAATATCTTATTTCAAATATTATCTTTCAAAGATGATTATTCTTACTTTTTTTAGTGGACCTTTGTTAAGGAGTGTAACCTGTAAAAACTTTGTTTAAAATATTGCAGCCTTACCTTCGGCCAAAGGTATCGTGATGTGCCTCGACACGGACAGTGACCCTCAACCGGACAGTCAGAGCAGGTCTTGAAGTGTCTCGATCAGAGCAGCTGCAGCAGCCTTTTTAAAGTCGACTGGGACCCGACCACTCCTCTGAACTTATACAACCGAATTTGGTAAGCTTTCCACCAACCACAACTGCGGGGCTTGGTTTTCCACACAATTCAGATAAGACTCTTTTTCTTTTATGTGCTGATGTTGCCAATTGACGTTATTAAAATGCCAGTCACAAAGGTGTATGAGTTCATTGTGTTTATCTAAGTTGTGCTTATTCATCCCCCCCCCCCCCCCCCAAGAGAAAAAATCATTAACCTTTGCAAGCATTTGTATTTTGTAACTTGAAAATATCATATTTTCATATATCTCAAGCAATTTGATAAAAGGGAACACTTGTTATTCATCTATAATGACAACATAATTTCCATTATATAGTATAGTAAGCATTAATTAACTATTTATAGAAATGGAAAGCTTGATTTGGCACAGATTATTTCAGATAAGACTCTTTTTCTTTTATGTGGTGACTTTGCCAAATGAAAATATTAAAAAGTCAGTCACATGTAAAGGCACATCGCAAACGTGCGTGAGTTCATTGGGTTTATATAAATTGTGCTTATTCATTTCCACCTTCCCCCCCAGCCAAGAACAAATTAAATCATTAACCCTTGCAAACATTTGTATTTTGTGACTCGAAATATCATATCTTAAGTATTTCTATCTACAAAAAGAAGATTTAATTTGGGGGCGGGGGATAAGAATTATTTCCTTGCTCTCTCCTTTATTGGGATGTTTGTCTTTAAAACTGAAGCTTGTTATTTATCTATAATGACAACATAATTTAGAGTAAACCCCTTTGTGTTGACACTATTTTGAAAAGTAATATATTGCAAATTAAGAAGCTATTTAAATAAGTATGTATACATTTACCTTTAAAATGTGTGGAAACTCTTTAGAAACAGTTCACTGTGCACTGCACTGGGTATAATTGTGTGTGTGACAAATGAAGATGATCTAATGTGGCAAAATCATCCTCATCACTTCGGCTGGGTCACAAAAGTATCGCAAAGTCACCAGAGAACCTCTGAAGAGAGGAAGTATCCCCGAAAACGTTGAGGAAATATGCAGAAGCCCCACAAACCGTCCAGTTTGGCACCGAAACGGTCTTCTGTTTTCAAGCAGACACACACCCGATGGCTTCATTGTAATCCACCGACTGAAAAAAAAAAAAAAAGCTGTGCATATGTGATAGTGGGAGAAGGTCAAAGGTCAGATACATAGTGACCTGGACGATGTGTTCTGGTACTTGTGCATTTCAGCATTTCATGATTTATTCTCATTAAATTTTGTGGCTTTTTTTTTTTTTAAGGTGGGGTTGAAGCCTTTGATATCTGCTCATAAAAGAAATTACTTCACCATAGATTTGCCGGGAGGTGCAAAACAATTCAACCATTAATTGATCGACTTTGACAGGTTCTCAAGAAGAAGTGTAGAATAAGCCATGCGGGCACCGACATGTCCTAAACACAACCCTCAATACCGATACCAATGTAGGACCTCTGATTTGCCCACTGGCTGTGATGCTTTCAGCTACATGCTTACTTTATCTTGGATTCCTTGGAACAACGCATCATTCACCTACATAATGTCAACCTGTCAGTGATGGCAATTTGCAACAAGTCAGGAATTCCTACAGGTTTTGTAACAGGGCACTTACCCCCATGGACATTACATAAACATGCTGATCGAGCTAAAGGTATATGAAAAGATTTAAAAAAACATATCCATATCTTAATCTCCATTTCAGTCTACTCAGTCACCACTTGGCATTGTGTGTTTGTTAGAGGGGGAATAGGAGACCGACACAGGAAAGGACAAGTGAACGCAGCACACCTGGGCAGGTCTGAAATTCCAAGAGCTCATAGCAGATCCAACAGGCAAAGTCAATTTGAAGACCGTTTAAAGTGCTTTGCAAAGGGTTTGAAAGCAGAAAAGAGAGAAAGAAATTGAATCACTAGAATTTATGAAACAGATTAAAAGTGAAGGGTGCAGAAAAAATACGTTTGATTTTCATATTCTCAGTTAAATCCAACCATTTTCAGCCGGGATTTAAACGTTGTCAGAGTGTTCCAGATTTTAGGGGCACGACACTGAAATGAAGCCTCTGATGGACTGATGTGGTCCTGTTCCCTGGTTCTGGTCAGAACTCCAGCGGCAGCAGCATCCTGGATGTTCTTCAGCTTCATCACAGCTGGTTCAGAGCCCAGTGAGCAGTGGTCCAACCTGCTGGAGAAAGATGTATGGACCAGTCTTTCTAAGTCTGGATTAAAGACTATTCCTCTGATTATGATGATGTTTTTTTAGAGGGTAAAAGGCTGCTGATGTTATTGATCTAATGTGGTTGTTAATGTTCAGGTTTGAGTCCAGTATTACCCCAAGATCTTTTACCTGAAGGTGACTGATGACACTTTCTCTTGTTTTCTGTGGGTCACAGACAATGATTTCAGTTTTGTCTGGGTTTAAGAAAAAGATTTGCACACCCAGGAA